GTCTTTCGTACAAAACCGCTTATCAACAAAATGCAAAAACGCGTATGTGAGGTTGCATAAATTATTTTTTGGAGAGTAAAAACACTTATATTTCAAAATGGTTCTCTTGTTTATAAAGCAATCGCATTTCTGGCTAGTATATTTCAGAACGAATGGATAAGGATTGAGCCAAGAGCTTGTGTGAACGAATCAAATTTTTGGCAGCAAATGTCAGAATGACGATACGCCGTTTTGTACTTTTAACGACGATACTTATGTACATAAATTATACATGTTGAGAATATATATACCAGCATATAGATATTTATTCATATACATAAGTGGGTGTACATATATGCTTGTGAATTTTTAGTTAGATAACTTTCCTAGAACGACATTTATATTTTCCGTCTTTTCGCGTACGGATACAGATCGTATTTCTTCAAAACTAGGCATTTAAGTACACTTTGCTAGCTCACATATACAAATGTTTCGACTCATACATTTTTTGAGTACATTTGTTTGTTTATTTGTACTTTCTTTGGTTGCTAGTGAAAACTTTCGAAATACTCCATTCTGATACATAGACGTGCATACATATGAATGTACATACATACATACATATTAGTCCTACAGCGTTGCTATATACATTTTCAATAGCAAATGTGGTTAAATTATTTATGGGAATTGGTGAGTAGTCCCTAAAGCAATTTTCTAAAATAACATTTTTACCCGTCTTACCACAACTCGTTTAACTTGTGCAATTTATTACGGTTTTGTTTTTAGTTATTTCCTGTCCTTTATTGTTAATCAAGTTATAAATATTTCTAAGAAACTTTTACATTCGATTATAGAAACTTGTAGGCAAGGTTAAATTTTTAAAATTTTATTAAGAGTTTAACACTGTTTCAGTGAGACAATAATATAGATGCGTGAGTTCGATTTAGTCAGACAGGAATGAAATATATTTTACATTGGACTGTGACGACTGTAAAAAAAAGTAAGTGCGCCTGGGCCACACTGAAGAAGTGAAACTAACGTCACATAGATAACAAAATCGATAAAAATATAGATAACAAAATCGATAAAAATATCTATAATAATATCGATAAAAAAATCGATAACGAAATCGAAAAAATATCGATAGCAAAATCGTTAAAAATTTCGATAACAAAATCGATAAATAATCAATAACAAAATAGATAACAAAATCGATAACAAATTCGATGCAAATATCGATGACAATATCGATAACAATATCAATAACAAAATCTATAAAAACATCCCGAGAGTCCCGAAAATCTCTAATATTCGAAAATAGTTCCCAGATTGAGCAAGAAGGGAGCGGAGTTTAACAGTTTTTCGTGTATAGGTAAACTTAAGGTTGCCGAATTCAAAACTATCTGAAAAATGTCTGTTTTTCTTACATACAAATTCTGATGTCTAGTGATTTTAGCTGAGAAATTAGTAAAATTCACATACATAAGTTAAAAAAGTAATTCTTAACTGATATTTGTTGAGCTAAGAGTTACATCATGTGCTACTAATTTTTTTCTGTCTCTGTGTCTCTATCTATATCCTTTTCTCTATAATTACCTTTGTTTTAATCTTTCTTACTCTATCTTCATCTTTACTATTATCGGTATCCTCATCCTCCATTTTCTTTATATTTATCTTTGTTGTTCATCTACATATTCCCCTTCACCTTTGCCCTTATATAAGAAAAGTGTTTAAATTTACTCACCTTTACTTTCATTCTTGTATTGGTCTTTTTCTGAGTGTTATTCTTTAACCTTTTGCTAGCAAGTTTTTGTCAAATTAATACTATGTGCATACACTTCAGAAGCATTTGTTTCGGCCCCAACCATTTCCGTTGCACCATTTCCGTGTGCAATTTCCGTTGAGTTTGCCAATTTACTCCCAACCAACCAAACGCCGCTAAAGAAGTTTCACTTCAAAAACACATTTTATTTAATTTTATATTCTAAGTATT